TGAGGAATGCAGCCTCGTCGTCGCCGTCGTCGTGTACCCGACTTCTACAAATGTGATCGTTCGTGGGGTCGAGGCACACCTCGACTCATCCTCTCCGCGTGCTGGTATGTCTTCACGGTATACCGTATTGTTGCTTACCGTAACCGTCCAGCCTCGCATGGCCGCTAGCGTGTCGAGTTCCTCCACAAGAATTCGCCTCGCTGCTTCCAAGTCCCCGTTGTCCGCCACTATGCTGCACTTGGACCAGTGGAAGATGATGTTATACCTGTTGAATCGTCGGCCGACATTTGAGTCGCGGCCCGCCTCAACCGCAAAGTCGCCATCAAAACAAGAGCAGTCGCTTACCGTAGGCAACTAGCCGGTCGTCCCACGACGGGACGAAACGTAGTCTGTGTGAGTGGGGGTGGGGGGTGGGGCAAGAGAGGGGTGCAGCCAGAAAACGGCACATAACGCCGAAGAGGCTTCCTGCTAATGCTTGCCCAGCAGACTGCCCCCGTTGCCGCTCCACTCACTCACTCACCCATCGACCATGAGAGCAGGCGCGATGTCCGGCATGTAAATATGGCTGAGATCTTCCGGCTCTACGATCTGTTGCGTGGATCGGTCGATCCGCATTATGGGGGAACGGGGGTTCGAAAACATCGCACGGACACGCAAGGATAAAAAAGAGCTCACAGGTCGGGTTCAATGTGGCGACGTCATCGACTTCTCCTGTCCGGGCATACCAAACAAGTGTTTGCGGGGACTTACGGTGTGCGATTGTTGGCCGCATACGAAGGGCACTTGTTGGACGAGTTCTTGTGCCCCACGGCCCAACAGCAGCAACCATGCTGTTTCTGTATCATACTCGGGAGCGAGGAAGATGGGATCAAGGGTCGCGACCTAGCAGGAGCACCTACGACTATGAGTCCCGTTTCCACCATGCACCCCAGGCCCCTCCCCAGCCCCGCCTCCTGAACTTCTTCCATCATCTCGAGCCTACAAACACCACCTCCAAATCCAAACGACTCAAAAGGGCAGCTAAGCAGCAGCAACAACGGCAGCAACAGCAGCAATAGCTGCAACAACAACAATTACAACCCTCCCTCCCTCACATCTTCGTAGTCGGTGTTCTTGACGCGGCGGTACTTGTTGTGAACCATCTTCTTCGGGCCGTTGTTCCTCTCCATGGACTTCTTCATCTTGGCGTACTTAATCTGCGTCCTCACCGACACCGGCGCGTCCTTGGTGACTCGCTGCGGCTTGTGCTTCGAAGCGCCATCGCCGTCTGCAGGGCCCCGTGCAGGCAAATAAGCAACGAAAACGGTCGTCGTAGATCGAAATGTTGTAGATGCTGTTAAGGCTACTCATGAGCGAAAACAAGAATTCACAAGTGCGTGGAATAAACAGACATAAAACCAACGCACAGTTTGGTGTGTTGCCTTTGAGAGGGGTATTGGTTTGAATGTCGTGGTTCGGTCGTGCAGGGTTCTAGATTCGGTTATTTTCCTCGTCGGTCCTACAGTAAAGAATGCGTCTGCCTCGTGTAGCCTGAGTCCAAGCGTCCGAGTCGAGGAGAAGACACACGTGATGCAAAAAACGCAGTCGAGAGGGTCACGCGGAAGGTGGAAGGTGGAGGGTATGAAAGGCTACAAGACGAAGAAGCTAAATGCTGCTGTAGCGATGTCGGAGCTGCAACGCAGCCAGTCAGACACCCATAGTCTCGCCTCCCTATCCGCCTCTTCATCTATCGAAGGCGGAGAGCCGGAGGTTGCAACGAGGAAACGAGATTCTGCCAATGTGTAGGCGGCGTTACAACTCCAATGTTGGCTTTGTGTCACTTGGACATGCGCGATAGGCGTCAGCGATGCAGAATAAAGCCAATGTGTCAGAGGCCTTTTTCCTGGTGGTATGTCGTTCCCGATTGGGAGACTCGGGCAGGCATCCCGGGTTGGTACCTCGGTTGAATGCATAGCATGGGTAGTGGAATGCGGGGACGTTTCCTGTCAAGATTGTAGCAGAAGACACTCGTAGATACCGACGACGGTTGAGGCGTTTGGTGCCATCTCATGCCGGCGAAATCTCACCCTACATAATGGGACACGACAAATGAATAACAAACAAAAGAGGGGATCACTCGAGAGAGTAAAACGCCAGGTCATTTGCATACAAGAAAACGAAATGCAGCAGCACGCCCGGCTTTTCCGTGGGCGTGTGTGCGCGGTGCTTGAAGTGTTGTTGTACATACATGCGCGTTTATACGAATTAAGCATCACAATAGAAGTCAAGGGTTAGGTGGTTGCTTTGGAAGAAGAGGGGCCCTCACGAGGAGAGAGCAGGGGCAAATAGGTAAAGCGCTTCGGCTACGTCGAGTGCATACGCACGAGCGTTATTCCTACTGCTGCGTCGACGACGGTGTTTTTTCGAAACATGAGAAAATCGAAGAATGCCTGTACTGCTGCTGTTCATTACCCGTTGCAGACTAACATACTCGCATCGAAGGGATGCGTTGAAGTCTTCACAGCAGTGAGAGGAGACTGCTGAATACTGGACATATTCTGAAGTCTGTTTTGCCCCAAGACTTTCATGGCCTTCACTGAACGGATCATGATGCCGGTGCACTCGTTGAAGTTGCCGGATTTGAGACAGAGTTAGTTGGTGTTGTCTACCGCCGTTTCTTGCAGGGGAGGAGGCACCAGTGTCGTCGCCTCCCCAAGACACATCATTACACTACATACCGACGCTACTGATGCATTTTCGAAGAGGGTACGGTGTAGATGCTCAGTCAGTCCAAGAAAAAGCGATAGTCTTACGTATAATACAGCAGTTACGCTCAGCAGTACAGCAGCAGCAGTATCCTACCTTGCTTAGTCTACTCACGAAACGCACGGGGACTAGAGGAAGCACGTCGTCCCCCATAAGAACTACCATGGTACTGCTGTATGTGGGACTGTCCACCCACCGCACCAACAGGACATAGTCTATACCAACTCGGCGTGGGTAAACAGGGTTGAGAAGAGACCCAGCTGTCGGGCAAATCCGACGCAGCGACCATTTCGGGAACCGACCGAGATGATGTCATCCACCGTTGCCTGCCTGCCCACCTGCTCCTGCGTTGCTTCCTTGACGCTGCTGCTGACGCTTCCTCTTGTTCTTCTTGTTGGCCTTCATCCAAACGCCCCGTTCTACTCTGACAGGTCGCCGGCTTGTGTCCCCACGCCTCTCCTCTACGGCTTCTCGCCCTATCGCGGTTATCAGCGCCCGTTGTCTCCAGCTCCAACCCCTACGGCTCCCTCCCCTAGCTGTGCAGAACGCGCCGCCCCTGCTGCAGCAGCTTGTAGCAGCATAGGCCAGCCCAGGCATACTCAATTGCAGAGCGCGGACCGGGTATGTGCTTCTCGCTCCAGCACCACTGTAAACCCCAGCCCGGCAGGAGCAGAAGCAGAGGATCAGCATCAGGGTGGAGTACACGCCGGACAAGCGAGCCAGGAGTGCAGCTGCCGCTGCCGTTGCGCCTGTTCTTGTGGATCTTCCACTTCTGCTAATGTTGCTGTCACCCATTGTATACTTATCCGCCAACGCCTTGCTCTGAGACACCTCCCGCGATGTATCTGGCTTGACACGCCCTAGTTTGTTCGCATGCATGCGTTCTCTCGCTCTCTCTCTCTCTCTCTCTCTCTCTCTCTCGCTGCGTTGGTCTTGCACAGAGTGCGCGAGGTGTGAGCGGACTTGTGTCGTAATGACGTGGAACGCGTCATGAGCTGAGCAGTCATCAGCGGCGCAACCTCATCGTAAAAAAGGAGCTCCGTAGAATCAACGATGAATCTACGGACGGTATATCGTACATGACAGTTGCATGGGTGAATGTTATACGTGATACCCGTATCTGCCAACCAACAACACCGTGCTGCGGCCCAACGGCCACCATGCCACGGTGTCACTGGCTTACATATCATCTCTGTGATGTGTGCCCCTGCTGTAGTCAGTCTATACAGTGATTTCTTATTGGTGATAGTTTTTTTGTCGGCGGCGGTGCGGCAGGTTCGTTTCGTTGGAGCTTGCATTCTGTCGGAAACACATAGTCTATGCTTTGTACAGCAGTGCTGGCTCGCTTGAAAGAAACTCAATATTTGAGAAAAGCCCCCGAGCGTCTCGACTCACCGGCTGTTTTTGCGAAGCCTTCCAAGAGTGTGGTGTGGTGTACTGCTGTAGTCAATTTTCTTTCCCCTTTTTTTATAGGAATACTCTGTTGTTGTATGCTAAAAAAATCTGCGGCCTCGATATCTTGGTTCTTGCGGCCACGTTTCTTGGGCGAGTTGGCCGCCTTGGGCCAGCTCTAGTCTATTATGACAATATGTCGATGTGTCCAGTGATCTCGGGGCTCTTAGGGTTCAACAACATTACTACCTGCCGGCTCAAGGAACAAGAAAAATATTCCCATGGTAGAGGGTCAGTCTACTCACCATGTACCTGCCGCGGTAGTCTAGACTAGACGGTTACACACGATTCCATGTCTGTCTGTCTTTCGGACACGTCACAAGTGGCCGATCGGCGCCAGCTGTCCGTCCCCGGGTGCAATAGAGGACAAATCGAGCGAAAGGCGTGTTGTGGGGAAAATCGGGAATTGTGTGGGATTTCGACCGTTTGGATCTTGGGCAGTTCCTCGGTTTGTCGACTTGGCACGTAGGGTAGACTAATGTATTTGTTACGGTTACATTGTTACGGTTGATAGGAGTTGCACCTTTGGGAGGATGCGTTATTCCCAACAGGTACTAGCAGTAAGGTCCGGTTTGCCGGGCCCCGTCTAGAGGCTAGGTTGCTCGGTCCCCTTGCCTTCACTTGACTTGACTTCTCCATACTACTTCTCCTTGCTTGCCCTGAGTTAGCAATAATCAACAAGCGAATACCGTATCCACGACCGGAGACCTTCCACTCCTTGTCTCAAGCCACCTTCGAGGCTCACTTCTACCGCTGTCCCGGCTCATCTACCGAACTCGGTACCGATCGAGAGGCAGCTACCATCAGGTCGGTAGCAGTGCTTGTAGGCTGGGGTCCTTTGTACAATCCTCTGTGGACAATTCCTCTTGACACCCAGGGTCCTGTCACTTGAATGATTAGAGACCACACAGACCCACATAGACATCGGGCCAGCCCCTATCCCTAGCCTCTCCTTCCGTTTTATATTTGTCCTGAGGAACAAGAATGGCTTCGTCATGAATGCCCTCCAAAAAGGGGAGGGGATCGTGGGGTCTACGTAAATCAACATAATACCGCCTTGGCCCTCACAACATGTAGTACCGGACTGCCTCGCAACAGTGCACGTATACATGACTCAAATGCCAATCACCAACGTTGCGAACAACAAAGCCGAGAGAAGCGTTGATTGTGGTTCCAAAAGCTCCTTTTTCGTTCGCCTTTGATCGACGGCGAACCAAGCAACACATCAAAAACAAGAACCGAAGATCCTCCCACAAAAGAAAAGCCTCTCTGCACAAAATGGCACAAGATGGGGGGTTGGAAAACCACCCCCCCTACTGCTGTAACAGCGCCAACACGAACAGCATCTTCGGCCGCAGTCAAGACGCTTCTACAGAGAAGGAACCGCTCGGGCGAGGGTCAATCGACCTCGACTGCTGTCAAGCGCGGCAGAACAAACGCCCCCGTGGCGTCGTGGTAGCTCGGCCAGGCCCCCGTCCCGTAGGCCCAAAGCAGCACCACGCCCCGCTCTCGGGGATCCAACCACTCCATGGATGATCCCCCCGCTTCCCCCGAGCAGACCTCCGCCACCGCTCCTGCAACAGCCGCTTCCAGCCCCCCTGTACCTTCCTCCCCCACGGCCGCCGCCGTTGCCGCGCAAGCGTCCCGACCCGCGGAAAATGTTTCCACCAGGGGGCGCTTGAAACGGACAATGAGGGACCCTTCCTCGGTGGTCTCGACGCTCTGTTCCGTCAGAACCTGGTGTCGATCCGACAGAGGCGTCACGGAGGCGATTCTGTAACCATCCATGCGGTAGCGGAGGACCCCCGCCGCCGCCGGTGGTTCTGCGGCAGCCAGATGCCCGGACGGGATGGAATGGTTGGCGTCACAGAGGGCGATCCATGGGGAAAACGGATGTATTAGAATCAGCCTGAACAAATGTCAGGCAACGAAGTCACTCCCTTTCAACGCGCGCTTATTTCATTGGCCCAAAAAGAATTTATGCCCAAATCAACATCGGGTGGAAGGCAGGCATAAATATTTTCCGAAAAATAGAGGGGTTGGTTTCAACCAGGTACTTCTTTCAGTGATTGCATGCATACATTTTCTAAAAACAAAACAGCGTCCATTCTCGAGACAAAAAAAAATCCCTCACCTTGGCTACTGCTGCTGCTGGCCGCCTCGGTCGCCCCCACGAACCCGACTACGGCCTCGCTCGGACCCGCCATCTTGCCGTCCGGAGAAAACCCCAGCGAAGCCCATCTCGCTCCTACCCCGCCCCCGCTTCCACCCCCCCGAGATGCCGCGGGAACCACGACCTTGACGGAAAGCCACTGCTGTTCCTGCTGCTGTTCCTGCTGCTGCTGTGCTGCATCGCCCACAGACGACGACGACCACGACAAGGAAAGATACAGCATGATCTCGTCCGCGAAAGACCCGGGCGGGCGCGGCACGAGGCACGCGTAGGCCGGGTCGTCGCTCTCGGCGCACGGAGGCCGCCGCTCCCGCTGCTGAAACTTCTGCTGCTCGTGGTGGTCTTGGCTGTGCCCGACGCCCGGAGCCGAGGGGCCGTCCGGCGCATCGAAGAAAACAATACGCTGCTGCTGCTGCTGCTGCTGCTGCTGCTGCTCCTGCTGTTGTTCGTGCAGTACCCCGATGCTCTTGCCGCCTGGGGTAATCCCGCAGGTGAGGCCCTGGTGCGAGACGTCGGCATGTGTGCCGCAATCGGGAGTTGCCCGTCGGAGGTGGAAGACCCACGCCGCCGCAGCGGTAGCACCAGCGGAGGCGAGGAGGCACAACAGCAGCGTCGGCAAACGCCTCCTTTGTGTCGGTGTACCCACCTTGGGTTCACCACGAAGGGGCCGCGGCGGCATTCCTGCTTTCGCTTGCCTCTCCCTCGGTAAACGAAGTACTCGACAAATTCCCTTCGCTTCGCTTCGTATGTATACCTCTCTGTTTCCCCCCCGGCTCGACCTGCGCCCCGTTCTTGCGTGTGGCCCCGAAACGAGTCTCCTCTTATCAATCACACAAAATGTCGAAACTAACCTTCCACTCCAGCCGCCGCCAGCGAGATAAGTTTGACACAAAACCCCCGTCTATTTGCCTACCAAAACCCTTTGTTGTGGCCCGCTTGCTCAGCGTCTACAGGCTGCTGCCGCTGCCGCTACCGCCGCCGCCGCCGCTGCCCTCACCGCCGTCGCTGCTGCTGCTGCCCAGGCCACCGGGTGCGTAGTAGCCGAGCTCTACCAAAACGCAAGGCTCCCCGTGGATGATTTGCAGGCCCAATTCCTCGGCCTTCGACAAGACCTGTATTTGTGCGCACAAGACATCGTTATTCAGTATTCCACGGCAGCCAAGCTCTACTATCCCGTTACGCAAATCCCCGCGCCAGAACACACCCTATACACATGGGGGGCGATAGCACCGATCCCTGCTCAACCATCCCACCGCCGTGTTCATGTTCCTGTAGCGGGGTTTAGCTTGGAGAGGTATGGAGCAGAGGCATGGAGGCACACTACGTAATGCCGACCAGTGGTGTGCCCCAAACAATGGCTGCTACAGCAGGATTTGCGATGGGCAGAACACGAGTGATCGATCATCAATGGAGCCCGCTACATCCATGTGATGTGCGCCAAACAATGGTTGCTACAGGATTTGCGATGGGCAGCACACGGTTGCTCGATCATCAATCGGCAACACCTTGAACACCTTCGGCATCGTTACCTCGGATATTAAGACACATCACACACCTCGTCGTTCTCGCTCCCCGGTTGGAGCCACAGCCTCTTCACGCCCAGGCGCCCGGCCTCCTCGACAACGCCAAGAGTCACCGCTGACAGGAATCATAAGGACGAGAACACGCGCGTTGGTTCAGAAGCTTCCGCGGTCACGTTTCCTCAAGATTGTTCGCAGCGCGCGGTGCAATGTAGGTCGTCCACTCTATGCAGCGTGGTACTACTAGACTGGTCTGAATACAACTTTTGAATGCACCATTACCCTTCACAAATACTTCGTCACAAAGGGCAAGAGCATGGCTCTTCTGCAGCAGTGTCGGCAGCAGGAGGTAAGGATACCTATCCCATCGCACCACCCAAGAGAGAGCCCTCCCCTCCCTCTCTAGCTCACCCGGGGGAGTGACGACGGAAACGGACACGTCTTGCGGGTCCGCAAGGTCAGAGAGCGACTTGACGCACTTCTTCCCCTCGATTTCCTCCTCGCGTGGGTTAACAGGGAAGACCGTCTTCTCCCGCCACAGGTAGCACCGCAGCACCTGCAGCAGCAGTTACGCCGCACGCACGCCGAAACGGCACGCCGAAACGGCATGCGACGACCCGACGACGAGGTTATTGTCGGCGGAGACGGCCACGGGTAAGTGCAACCGGTCGTGCCGGCGCGGTCACGCACGTGACTCTGGCGATTGCCAGCGTGTTCACTATGCGGGCAGCCAAAAACAAGAGCTCTTGGTCCGCCGGATCCAATCCAACACGTGATCGACAACGGTGTCGAGAAAACGACGACGTGGTGCTCGGGAAGACAATCAGAGGGCACCATTTCCGGCATGGAAATTCCCAGGAGCGTTGCTCCCAAGAAACTCGATGTCGCGTTTGTTTGTTTTTCCTCCCATCATTGGACTCTGTTGTCTGCCCCTCTGGCCCCTATCCTCCACTTCTACTCGCTAGAAGACCCAACCGGGGTCACACAGGAGGGGGGGTTGGACCCCCTCCTGCGGTTCCTGCCTGAGACATTTTTATCGCGAGAAGAGTACAGCAACCCCTTCCCTCGCGACTTACGAAGTCGATTATGTGCGCGCCTGATTCCCCCATGCAAAGAGCAAGAGTATCCACGTATACTTATTCTCTGTTTCTCTCAAGACTGGAGGATCTGTAGTCTATACAACGGATCCAAGAAAGGCCATTTGCGCTTGTTGCGGGTGCGGGAGGAAAGGATGGCGCATGTGAAATACTCCGGAGTTATGGTTGACGTCCATCGATGTAACTTGTCCACCTTGTTGCCGAACTTGCTCCTATTGGTGGACGCGCCGACGACGGCGAACCGGTCCGCGGCCAGAAAGTTCCTGACAAGCGTATTCATCTACGACTTCTTCACCGGGAGCGAATCGGATGAAAAGGCGTGCCTTCTTGTGTGAATTTCCTGATGACAGACAGAGCGAGGGGGGAACTGCCTTGAGCACACGTGCTTGCAGATGGGTCTTGCAGCGCGGGGTACACGCCCAACGTTTTTTGTTATTGTCAAAGTCATTTGATTCAAATCCTGGCAATGTGACAGTGGGGAATAAGCCCATCAGAGGAAGAACAGAGCGGTAAAGGGGGGAGATCAGGAAGAGGAGGTATTTTGCTGGACTCAGCTACCAATCGTTTCCGATATTCTACAACATATTTTTTTCTGCTATTTGAACTCCGTTTTGTCCACCTAACGTGTTGCCACTCCGTTCTCTTCTGCATCATTTCATCCATTTTTTACTTTCACAGACCAAGTGCATGACCGCACACTACTCGCCAACTTACATGTTTCACCTGCTTTGCTCCGTGAGACTTTGCCAATATGCCATTGACTGTTCATCATGCTACGTCATCACATACCCTTCCTCTTTTCTTGTGTGCCTGTTTTGCTCCCCTGGTAACAGCGCAAAAATAAGGCTAACCAACACTCCTCTCTACAATGAAGCCTTCCAAGGACATCTCCAGCAAACCCTCTCAAGGTTGAGGGTGATTCTCACTAGATATACTGATTTCGCCAGACAGCATTAGCCCCGCGTTGCTCGTTGCCCTTGGTGGGAGCACCGGTCTTCCTTTCTCGGCATTGCGCAGGATCGAGCTCTGTGTCAACGGTGTATCTGCACTTGTTGATATTTCAGACAAGGCGGGTGACGCCATTGACGGCGTCGATTTCAATCATGGTCGTGTAGATGCCGTTGTGGTTTGTCGGATGCATCAGATACGGGATTGTTTTCATGTCGTTACGTCGTTGCCAGTAAGGGCTCCGCAGGAAACTTTGGACGGGTTGCCTCCTCCACGCCGCCACCTCGCAAAATCCCAGTCCATGGGCATTTACAAGCGTTGTGTGTTTTCAACCGCACTGAGACTGTCGTCTGTCGTCTCATTGATCAGCCGGGTATCGTCGTCGATGCTAAGAATCAACACATACATATGTATAGCTCTTGTTCTCGTTCATCACCTTTGCCGTCCCGTTCCTACATATTTCACCTAACTCCAAATATATCATTATGTTCGACACACGGACCATCATTATCATTGTATGTTCCTAGGACGCAAAGTCATCCCACTTCCAACCATTTTTCACCGTCTCGTTTTTGTACATCATGTTTACCGGTGTCCGTCCCTGCTAATGTGCGGGCGGTGATTTTACCACCAAGCGGCCGTCCCGCCTAATTAAGGGTACCCGGACAAATATGTTGCCTAATTTCGAAAACAAACGCAAGAGCGCCAGAAAATGCACTAGAGACACATAAGACCAGTCGGAAGGCATCGCAAAAAAAACAAGTCCAAAATTCTGGCACAGGGCAGCAGTAGAGACCGCTCAAAACGTGCTTTTCGCGCGACTACCTCCACACGCATCCTTTGAAACCAAGATAAAAATCCACACCAGTATTAATTCAAGTCAAAAGAGCCCAAACGGAAGGCGCTCAAATAAGGCCGGTGTTGCTAGGAACCTGGTCCATTGTACCAATATCACTAGAGGACACCCTATAGCAGCGGGGGGGTGTGTTGGCGCGCTCAAAACTTCTTCTGTGGTGGTGGTATCGAGTGTCGTTGTAGTGGCCCACAATCTCCGCAAATCTCCGCAAGTTAGATCGACACCCAGTGTCTTGTACTGCTTGTGCTCGCCGCCACTGAACCCAATCTTCTGAACTGCAGGTTTACAGCAGTAGCTGATGCCACCAGCTACTGCTGACAACCCGCAGTTGAGGGGTTTGCGGTCCGTGGTGGTGAGCACCGCTGTGACAAGTGTTGGGTTCCGCTTGGTTCCGGCGCAGATTTCGGACCGTTTTCAGAGGCTGCTGCGACCTTCGATATTTCAGCCCCAGTAGTATACCTGAACGTGCCAGCACGCACGACGCCTCTTGATGATATCCTCTACTGATACTAGCACAACGGACCAGGTTCCTCCGGCGGGAAGGTTGTTTTCTTTCTTTGTACTGTTATAAAGTATGAGAAAAGAGCCAGCGTCAAAATCCCTTGTCTGGGTACCCTTAAAATCGGCCGGCGGTCCCCTTACCCTAGTACACTCGTATGTTATGGGATTGTATTGGGGGACGGATCTCAACAGCTTCTGCTCAGCCCTACCGAACAGCAAGGCGGAGCAAGCACCGCTGTCCCGCAAGAGACAATAAACACCTGACTCCATCTTCGGGTCTCCTACATTGTATAACACGTGGCAATTCCTTGGCAATACACAGGCATACCAGATCATGATGGATGGATATTGGGCAGATATCCACAGCACGCGGTTGGGTTGGAAAATCCTGCTTGAGTGCACTTATTGAACATTAACATTCCTTTGTTGCGGACACTTTTCGTGCGTTCATCGTACACGCCAGGCTCGCACCTAAGGATCCATTTCCAACTTTTTAAATCGTTTCCAGTTGTAGTCTGGTCCTGCATTCGTCTTACGGTATGAGGTGCCTTAAATGCGTCTCGGCCCGCCTTGCCCGGGCTGCCCCATTTCACAAATACAACAAGGCACAGCTACAACAAGGGCTAGCTCCACCCAATGAAGCGATAAACAAGGAGAGCTTTCCCAAAACACCAACCCCCACCGCTCCGCAGGCACTGGATCAAACGGGGAAGAGAGGAGAGACTGAGAGAGTGCTAACGGGACTGTCAGATTCGGGTAGATAGTTCTTTGCCAGCTGGTGCATTATGCTCTTGTACTGCCATGGGCAACAAAGTCGTTTGGTTTTACATACATGAACCGCTGCTCCACCACCCTCCTTGCACTCCTACTCGTCATGAGCTGATGGCGCGCACACAAAACCCTACAACAAGGCAGGAGAAGAGTCACGTGATTCAGAGGGCGAGCACAGGCGAACCCCTAGAACCAGAAAGGAGGCATTTGCATCTCAAGAGAAAATCAAACAGTCAGACGCGTGAGACGCTCAGAACCTGCCGAGGCGCGTCCTTGGATGGAGTCGCCATGAGGGATCAACAAACGACGCCCTGCTGCACTCACTTGTTGATAAGAGGTCTCCTTGTACAGAGTCGGGGATCTGGGTGCGACACATCAAAAACGCTTTTTAGCGTGTTTGGACGACCGAAGGGCAGAGGGTAGAGAGATATCCCCTCCCGCTCTCATGAGTAATCTGTGCGCAGCGGGGCCCCTGAACTGAAACTCTCCGCCGTTGGAAAGGTGACACACAGCAGCCCCCGACGTTCATATGGACCCTGGACCCTCCCCATCGAGCAGTCTACCTCTTCATGTCGTCGTCACAGTGCTGCAGTTTGCTGTTCCTGAGGTTGTGTCGCTGGGGTGAGTCCGTAAGTCCGTTCGATACTTACACATACAATCGGCGGGCTCATGTTCTCCAGCTGTCCCCTTGTCTGCTGCTGAACAGCAGTCTTGGGCAGTTGGGGGCGTGTACGTACCACTATACCAACACTCACTCTTGTATCTGTGTAGATCTTCGAAAAGAGAGAGGGCTAAGCGTTATTGTACAACACTACAATATTGCTTAGCGCAGTACTGTAAAATACTGTTAGCTTCATGGCTACTCTCTACAACCGTCGTGTAGACTAAAGCAGTAGATACTGCTGTCGGCTGGCTCGCAACATGTCGGTCCGTAGAACCACCAGCGAGTTCGATTATCTCTTTCTCTCTGGATGGGTCTATGTTTCCCTTGCAATTTGAAGGTAGGATTCTCGTGAGTAATTATTCACAGATATCCCATCGACTTCACGATCGAGAGGCTTGTCACGATCAAAGCTATTTAGGGCAACTACCGCAGGAGGTGGAGGTGAAGCAAGAGAAAAATGAAATGATACGAAAGCGGCGCTGTTTGAACCGTCGTCGGCTGATACGTCAAACACAAACACAACCGAGGGTGTGTTGCGACAGAAAATATGGGAGGAACGGCATCTACCAAGGTCGGCGCTGTCCAACCCATGCACGGCAACGCACACTTTCGCTATTTCTGTACTTGAATGCGTGACCGAGAGCCCTCCCCCGTTCTCGCGACGTGTTCATATCGACACTCGTACGCTTCCAATGTCCCCGTTCTCTCCTTCTCTGTGCCACCACTACTACGAAACGGCACCTGCAGCGAGGCACGACTCCTCTGCAAGGGGGCATCCTCGTCCCTCGCCTCCCCCTCCTTCTGGCGGGGCATGACCGTCAACCTCACCCGCGACGAGGGATACGAACCGCCGCTGAACGCCCCTCGCCGCCCCCAGCACGACGAGAGTAGCCGCAAGGCCGCGGCATCTTCTTCATCCGCCTCATCGTCCTCCGGCGGGCGTGCTTCGGCGCCCAGGGCAACGGCGACAAGACCCAGGAGCAACGCTGATTGCCTTCTAGGCGGCACCGGGGCCGTCGGCGTGGCGTCCTCGCCACCTGCCGGCTGCTACGGCGGTGGTGCTAGCGGTGCCGGGACAAGGAAGAGAAACCGGGCGGCGGGTGCGGCGGGTGCGGAAGGAACGGCATCGGGGGCGACAGCAAGACGGAAGTTTCTTCGGCGATACTACCACCACGTTGCGTTCCGACGCCTGGTAAGTGCCGGACGGTCGAAGCCACACCTTGGCACCGCTGCTGTTTTTCTTGGTGGTCGTAACCGGTACTGTATTTGAGTTTTTCTCCGTATGGTCGGGTAGCGTTACACGGCATCACACACGGCCCTTCATTCGTACACGATACTTCATCGCCAAAACCTGCTATACAGAGCGTGCCGCGACTTGTTTCGAAGTTGCAAGAGCTTGGTCGTTCAAAATTTGAGGGTCTAGTTTTTGAAGATATTAGAACTTCGGCCCAACCCACGCTAACTACCTCCATTTTTACTGCCGGTTTCCTTGCAGAGGAAATAAGACGGTAGGGTTGCCCACGGCAAGATAATGTCTCAAATGGCGGCGCGTTCTGCAAGCACGTAGCCTCCAACATATTGTTGGGGGCGGAATGATCGGTCATTTCTACTTACTTTTTTTCTCCTCCTAGCTAGGATTCTTGCACGATTACGTCTAAGCTCGACAAAATCGCCACACGATTTTAAAATACAACGCTTATTTGCTTGGCATATCATCGTGTTACCCCCCGTCTACGCGTGCTCTACAATAGACCCCTCCGGTGACCAACACGGAGACGATCGACACGCCGGTCCCCCTCTATCCCACGTGTCTCGACACCTGCGGCAACATGGTGGCCCTCGGCACTCGAGAGGGTCCAGTCCTTCTCTTCCACACCACCAACGGTAGCGGCGGCGGTGGCGGCGGCGGTAGCGGCGGTGGCGGTAGTAGCGGAAGTTATCGTGACGGAGCCCCGCTTGCTCTCGAAACGAACGCCGCCGCGGGACGGTCTGCCATGACCCCTCCAGCGGCCCGCGCTCCCGGCAAGGCCGCGACCCCTACCACGGCCTTGGCCGGCAGCAGCAACAGAAGCGGGAGCACCGCCTCCGTGACGAGGGCGTACGGTTCCCTCGCCGACGGGACGGGGCCCACCACGGCTGTCCTGGTGGATAGAGCCAAGGTCATCGCCGCGGGCCGCGGGTCGCGGAGGAGCGGGGGCGGGTTTGTAATCAGGTACGGTGGTTCTTTTTTTTTTGCTTTTTCGGCTTGCCTGCAGGGCAGCAGCGGCGGGAGCAGAGAGAGAGTCGAGGACAACGGCATTCCAGGATGTATTGCTGTTTTTGCGGCGAGCTCTCGTGGCGAGTTTTGGCTTGCTGCGCACCGGTGCCGTCGTGCGCTGCGGTGTTTCTTCCGCTCGTGCAGTCGTCAGTTGTTCGCAGTACTAATCACCTCCGGTGTTTCAAGCGAGAGTCTGTCTTTTCGAGTCTTTCCCGTATCCAAGTGACTTTTCCAGCGTGTGTGAAATACCGTGTGTGGGTGGCTGTTCGGCTCGAGATGCAAGTATAACCGTGATACTCTAGGGAGGTATAATGTGAAGCCCCTGGCTCTCTCTCACGATATACATTCAACGCGGGTGGCAAGAGACCGTCTGAGTAATATCGCCATTCTGGCTGCGATTGCTTGCAATTCTCGAAGGCTTTTGCGGCGGAAAGCTGAGCTTGTCAAGAAGAACGCATCGAACGTGTCCACTTGGAAGTAAAATATAACTTATTTGTTCACTCGATTTTCTTGCTGGCGAACGCCTTTTATCGAGAAACGCCATGTAGAATGTGCCTAACTTGGAAGCGCTCACATTTTTTGCTCAGCTAATTTTTGTCTGCCGGCTGCTGCTGAAAGGATCTACGCGGTGGACTCGACGAGGCTCTTGCGGACCCTCCGGTGCCTGAGCGAGGTGTCCCGCATGTCTCTCTTCGATCCCGTCCTCGCCGTGCTCTCGTTGGGCTCGGGCCGCTTGTCGTTCAGGGATCTGTACGCGGACGGAGGCGGTGGTCTCGGCCAGGTGAAGTTATTGCAGTGGCTACCAAGCCACCTGCGTGTGTGTCCTGGTCTCACCTCGAGGTTGTATTGTAGAGCAACCGTTCGAGAACAACACGTTCGACGTTGAAAAACAGCGTTTTTTTTTCGTGTTGATCAAGCCAAGCAACTCTTGTCTGTCTACCTGCCGGCGTTTTGCGGCCGTTTGCCCGTTCTTCTATTCCATGCCCCTCCGAGGTTGGGATTTCTCGGTGTTCGGACGTGATTGCTTTGGCTTTTGGGGTTACAGTTATTGGTTGCAACACCCGCAGCGTTTCCGCATTCAGAAGTACTACACCAATCCTGTCAACAGCGTCAGGTAGCATACATGTACCCATTTCGTCCCCCACAACGGACTCCTTTCCCTCCCCTTGCACCCACCATTTCTTCCGGCACGTGGCGCCCAAACCTCCCTCACATGCACACCTGAATGTGTGCATGCGGCAGCGTACCGCGATGGGCGTTTCCGCCGCGGCATTCGCTGCCGTCGAGGGCCATCTCACCAACAACAACACCAACACCAACAACAACAACAACAACAACAACACGGGCACCATCCGACCAGACTACAACGGCGACGGCACGACCGTCCTCCACTGCGTCAACTCGACCGGCACCGTCTTCGAGGCGTCGACTAGCGGAGCGGCGTGGAACTCCGAGCTGATCGCCCCGGGGGGCAGTGAGGGCGGAGCGGATCCGGCGGCGGCGGCTGCCGGGGGAAGATGGCACGTTTGTGCCGACCTTGAAGCGTCTCTCCTGGTGAGATAGAAAACCCGACACCTTATACATCTCGTAGGGTTGTCGGGCCTAAAAGTCCTTTTCGATACAAGTGGATTTTTTTTCTGTCGTCACGCATGTCTGGGGTTACGCAGATGATGAATCCTCCCAGGGGGTATGTAGCCTTCTTCTGTCTGTCTCGGGAGGAGAAGAATTCCGCCATCTCCTTGTCAACGCGGTGGTCGAGCGCTTTGGATCCTAAAAGAAAGCTTGCGTGTTCTCTTTGGGTGTTGTTTCGTGTACGTGACGAGGTGGCAGATGCGCGTCGTGCTCCTGTGCGTTGTTTTGCGGCGTGTGGAGCACATTTTTCGGCAGTGGGGTTAGGGTTGGAAGTCACCTGTTGTCGGTCCGGGGACATTGGTGCAACATTCTCCCAGAGCGTTCATCATGCAGCACGCACGCACACCGCGTACATGAGACTGGTGTGTTTTCATTGGTCAGCAGGTCTGCGCGTTCGACGATCAATAGCGGAACACACACACACACAGGCTGTCGGGGGCGCGCGCTGACAAGAAGGCGTCATCTTTATGTTTTTTGTTCCACTGTCAAGACTACCCGGTATTTTCATTGGTCAGCTAGCTGTTGAGCGGGATCGATTCGATCCTATTTATTGCACGCACACACGTACAGGACACTTGTCGTCCAACTCCTGCCCCCCCCCCTCCCCCCCCCCTGTCGTCAGAACTCTCTGATTAGAAAGCGTGTTCGCAATTTCTTACCCCGCCACAAGGCTGACGCCTTTTCATTGGTCAGCCGGTCATCGCAGTCGATGCTATTANCCCCTGTCGTCAGAACCCTCTGATTAGAAAGCGTGTTCGCAATTTCTTACCCCGCCACAAGGCTGACGCCTTTTCATTGGTCAGCCGGTCATCGCAGTCGATGCTATTAAGCACACACACCACACCCGAGGAGACCTCCTGCACGTCAACTCAAGGCCATATCTTGAGATGTCCTGCAGTGCACCCCCGGGTCCCTGGACAAGATACCACAAAGCACCAACCATCAACCTTTCCACTCTTCCTAAATAGGTCCTTGCGACGCCGTGGGGCGCAATCTCCGGTTGGCGTCTAAACCCCAGCGGGCGCCGCGCCCGCGGCCCGATCTTTTGCTTCGGACTAGGATCCTCCTGTTCGGCCTCCCCGTCGCCTTCCTCGCGCCCACTGACCTCCATGAGCCTGACCGCCGGCGGTCTGATCCTCGCCACCTCCGCCGAGGGCGCGCCCCCCCGGCTGTGGGACATGCGCCTGACTCGGCGGCGGTGTGGGTGGGGGCTGGCCGCGGACGGTGGCGGTCCTTCCGGAGCAGGGGGAGCTCGAGCGTCAGGGCTGAGAGGCACCCCCGCGGGTGGAAGAGGAGGGGGCTCAGCAGCAGCGGCAGCAGCAGCAGCAGGAGGAGGAGCAGGAGGAGCAGCAGCAGCAGCAGCAGGAGCAGTGGCAGCGGGCAGCACTCGACAGGAGGGTAGTAGGGCCGACGACGCCGACAGTCGTGGTGGACGTGTTGCAGCGGGTAGGGCGCGGTACGTCGGGGTTCGGCCGTGGCCGGTGGGAATCTGGGCGGTGGGAGTCGCCGCGAACGCCGGGAGCGGGAGGCTGGTATCGGCGTGCTCTGACGGACGCATGAGGTTATTCGATTTCTTTTTTTTGTGTGTGTGAAAAGTCTTTTTCGAGTACATCGGTGTTGTTCATGCGCAAGGCCAGACACGGCAACAAGAAACTCTATTTTTTTGAAGCTTGTACGAGTCATCCGCGGGGTACGCCTGGTCTGTGTTGTCTTGTGGCGGGGACCGATGAGGATTGAGGGTTCCTTTGAATTTTCTTGGACGTCCGTTTCGTCGGCAGCGATGCCGCTTCAGCGTCGTCTCTCATCACATCGGTTGAACTGACACGAGTTTAATGTGAAGACAGCAACAGCAACAGCGACAACAACAGCAACAACAACAACAACAACAACGCATCGCTCGGGAGCCAACCGTTTGAGGAGAGTAGGCTACATCGAGCCAACGCGAGTTGGCTTGCCCCGTGTGTGCAAACTTGGGAACGGGAGAGAAGCCTTGCGCATCCCCGGTTCCTACATAGCGGAGGAAACGCGCCCATACCGTAATTTTGTTTCGTATTTGAAGGCTTCTTGTTCTTTGTTTGTAAGAAGTATACAACAACACGAATAGTAAGGGTGTGTGTTGAAAGTCGTAAGTCTTTGCAGGAAGTGGGGGAGAAACCCTGCTGGATGCTGGGCTTCCTTGTTTTGACTGTACAATTCATACATTTCCTCTCGATGGTAAAGGCACCGCTCAAATTCCCGTGCGGTTTATTTATTTATTTCTTTTTTAAACCCATTGTGTGCAACCGCAGGATCACCCAGCTCCGGTCCAACAACGAGGAGCAGCGTGTACGCACTGCCGTGCTTGCAGCGCGCCAAGCCAAGCAGCAAGCCGCCGCGCGAAGCGGAGGCGCGCCGTGAAACGCCATTGCCTACGCCCCAGTTAGCGGTAGCACGGGTCCCATCCAATTGCTCCTTCTTGTTCGGGGACGGCACCTCGTCCACCTGGTCCGCCTATGCATGCACATGTAGCACAACCGATAGCTTGGTAGCGCCGCTAGATGTCGACCATAGCGGGAAAGCCGCGGCAACTTGGTGTGTCACTCGGCTGGTTATATGTTGGGGGCTAGGCGTGCGCGGTGAGGTATGCTCCATGGGTTATAGGCGAGCGCCGTCTCTGAGATCAGCGCCGATGTTTTCAAGCCTCGCGTCCACTCCGCAGATGTCAGTTTGTTTCTAGGTGCAGAGGCGGTTGGATGTCAGAACGTCAGAACCGAGGCACACACCAGCAGTCATTGCGGGGCGTGCGGACATTTTTTTGCGCCGAACGCCCGTGCAATAAAAAGCTAATAGCTCGGGAAACTGCCCCAAGGCGATACATGGACATGATTCAAGTCACAGAACGTAGCACTACTATACAGTGACCGGCAATTTTTTTTTGCTCGAGGCTCGCGTCCTTTTCTTCACGTGTATCCTCTTTGGGGCAACGCGACACGCACGGGACATTCTTAACTGAACACGTTTCTGTAGTCTAGTGGTCAGTAGTGGTCAAGCTGTAAAAACTTGTCTATTTTCTGGAGCCTGGAGTTGTTGAGTCAGATTATTGGCGTTGCTACGCCACCATGTCATGTCGCGAGGACAGCGAACGCCACACGTATATGTGCACGAGGTTTGCAACACGCGAAACACGTCGTTGCTGTCTGTGCTTGCTGCAGGCCCGGCTGTTTCGGGAACAGCGGCGGATGCGGAATCAACATCCCAAAGGCGCGCGTTAAGTGCGGCGGATGATGCGCGTGGAAAAAAGAAGAGACAAACTCTGAGATCGCTGACGACAAACACTCAACATATATATTAAATATCGAAGGCAAAACAGGAAGACTGAAGCTACAGCATGAAAACAGAACACTCAGACACGTACGTACGTGCGGCTGCATCGCGCCATCACGATATCTCAAACGGTTCGAAACAACTTTATCACCCTCGCCACGCGACCTTTTCTCTTGCGTCTGATTTTCACCCTTGGGAACACGCGAACTTGCGTGCATATAATACGTAAGCATATCTACCCCTCCCGATCGACGGGCACATGTATACATCTCTAAATCTACAAGTACCTTTGACAGCATACACTGACTTTTGACTTACATATTTCCAACGTCTCCAGAAACAAGCGCGCTGACCGGAATGGAAAGGGCGCATGAAAAAAAAAAAACAGTAAACAAAACAGTTTAATAAGCCAAGATATCAGTTTCGAGAGAACTAGACGCCAAGAGAATCGTTTTGGGCACGAACACACATATAATACGCAACTTTTTTCGGCTTCCGCCACTACAGACGTACGCAGATGGACAGATAGATTAACCCCCCCCCCCAATCTGGCGGTACACAATAAACACCGCGCACCAGACAATTGGTGAGACGCTGGTAGCGTGCATACAAGGCACGAGTACGGGCCAATCCCGGCAGAAGCCCTATGACAACCACAGGAACCCAATCAATCCAACAGACTAAAGGTCCTCGATGCTACTACTGCTGTAGACCCAAGGGTCTACGATGCTGCCCCTTCCCAAGATGTAGGTACGCCCCCCCCCCCCCCCC